GAAAAGGAGGTATCAGGGTTTCATTTTGTTGGTTTTCCCTATGGGCCCCATAGTAGTTCCGTTTTGGGATTCCCTAATAGGATTCTAAATATGAACCCAAAAAGGAACTACTTTAGGGCCTATGGGTCTTTTCTGTTCACCATTTGGTGCTAAGGCTTCTCGAGTTTGGATGTAGGGATGTAGGGTTTCGATGGCCGAGCTAGGGCGTCTAAAACCCAAACGGACAACGCGTAGGGAAAATGGCGGTGCAAAAATCCATCTAATGGCTGTCTCCGTCACACAGAAAGCCTCCAGGAGTCAGGAGGATTGCCCGTGGATTGGCAGATCCCGGCTTCATTGAATCCGTCTTGAACCCTAAACCACTATGACTTGAAGCCCTTGACACTAGATCCGAAAGCCCTACACCTGGAAAGTCACAAGGACCCTATAGAACCCCGATAGAAACGCTTCTAGAATCCTTTACAGGTAGTTTCCCCTTCTTCCACAGAGGCGCCAAGATCTTGAAGGAGGCCCATGCATCAACACCTGCCGCACGCAGGGCGCAGGGACCGCAATAGTTATAAGGGCTTAGGGTTTGGCCCCTTGTTTCAGAGGCTTCCATAAGCCCGCAAACAGACGACAGCGCGCGTATTTGCGGTCTTATGGCGTGTGTATGGCTTACATCGACAAGTTTGGGCACCCCCTATAACACCTACCCTAATCCCTAAACCCTAAACCCTAAACCCTAGACCCTATAACACCTATTAGTTCGTCTCGACTGAGAGATGACTTCAGCGGTTTTGGCATTTACTTGACAGAACCGGGGCAAACGAGCACCAAGGGAGGGTTTAGGGTTTAGGGTTTAGGGTTTAGGGTTTAGGGTGATCAAATATCGAATGTTGACTGTTGTGCAGCTTGAACATGGCGAGATCCCTAATCCGAACCACACAATGGCATTGGGCAATTTAGAGCTGTGTAGGATTCCTAATAGGATTCCTGTACCTCATAAACCTTCTATCAGGACAAGATTCAAGGCCTTACCTTTATTCCCCAAAACCCAAGCAGACTTACCTTGAGGGTGCGTTTCCGTCAGGATCCTGATGACAGTGGTCCTATGTAGGCTTTACGGTTTGGTTTTGAGACATGGAGTAACTGTGTCAACCTTCACTCCCTTCCCTGTCAGCGCAGGACGCCTGAATGGCGATACCAGGCCTCAGTGCAAGAGGGGAGGGTGCATTTGGCCTTGTAAACGACGATAGTGACTTCTATTCAGGCGAATCTTCTCATGACGTTTAATAATTGTCAGCATGGAACATGCGTCAAGTATGACAGTATATGGCCATGAGTACGCATTCCCAGACTAGCGAAGGAAATTCTTGCTGAAACGCTTGGGGCTGAAGGGCTCTGGGCTTTAGGTGTGCAAGGGCTATGAGGTCTGAGAGTGTTAGGAAGATTATGAGGCATCAGGGCATTGGGTATAGAGCTTGACGGTTCTCGACTTTTAGATTCCAGGAGCATCTTGAACCGAGATCAACGAGGCTCGCAGACTCATAACCCGAGTCGATAGGCTTGCATCGGCCCTTCCATATCGTGACAATAGCCAGCGCCTTCTCAAATGCAGACAGTTGTAGCCATTTGGCCTAACATGACGATAGAGGGAAAGCCATAAACGCCAAACCAACAGACGTTACTGAGGGCGCTTGCAGGAACACTATGCTTTAATTGCCGACGGGGAGCATGAAGTCCAACCGTCCGTGGGCCTCCTGCACGTTCGAGCAAATTGGCGATAGACCGTCGTAGCCTCGATGTTTGAGGTTTAGGCTCGAGGTCTAAAGTCGAAAGCCGCACCAGGGAACTCAAAGCCATCGCACGCAGGAATGGGCCTTGAATTCGGACCGTAGAAGGTTTTCACATTACAACTTACAACCCTAGAAAGGCTTCCGACTCCCAAACTTGACTAGGCCCTAGACGCTAGACCCTGGACCCCCGAAGTACTGTTGATGATATAAATCCTGCATTACCTGAAGGACCCTAAACTATGGGAATTATGGGATATTCCTCATTATGGGTAATGCAGGATTTATATCATCAACCGTATGTCTGCCCCGCAGCCTCTTGGACCTATGACCCGAGGTTCAGTTCACCCTGCCGGCGGCCCAGTCTTCATGATCGGAACGTCCCCAGACGGTTTTGTAAGGGTGTTAGAAGGCTTAGCTTAGGACGTTAAGGGTGATGATGTTTGAAGAGGGTTTTGCGGGCTATTCTGCTATATGGGTAGTTCTCTAGGTTAGGGTCCCTTTGAGCTTCCTGCTTATAGGGTGCCGTGCTCTTTTGGGGACCTAAAAAGGGACCCTAATTTAGAGAACTACCCAGATAGTACCCGTAGACAAATCCTACGGAAACCTTTTATAGCTATAGTCTCCATTGTAGCTCCTTTTTGGGGATGCCTTATAAACTCCTTAATATATAATTGGTTAAACCCAAAAAAAGGAACTACAATGGAGACTACAGGTAGTTTCCTTTAAGGGACTCCAAAAAAGGCACGCTAATTTCTCAACATCAGGGACTCTCTTCCCTCTCGCCAAAAGCCGAGGCGAAGAGGCGACGGTGGTCTGAGGGAAAGGACAGTCAAGTGAGCGCGTGCGGTGTAAAGTTTAGGGTTTAGGAAGTTTAGGGTTTAGGGTCCCTGCGTACGGTTTAAAGTTTAGGGTTTAGGAAGTTTAGGGTTTAGGGTCCCTGTTTAGAAGTTTAGGGTTAATTTAGGGTCCCTAAACTAAACCCTAAACCCTGAAGCCACCCTCTGTACAGGGACTCTAAGCGGATGTTGATACTCATAAGCCCTAAAGTAGTTCCTTTTGGGGTTCATATTTAGAATCCCATTAGGGAATCCCAAAAAGGAACTACTATGGGGCCTATAGATACTGAGTAGTCAGACCTCCATCTGAGCGATGAAGCCCAGGGGCCACGGGTCGTAGGCGAGCTCCAAATGGAAAATGGGTCCATAAGCTCGGGTATTCCATTGTGCCAGCTTCCCTTGGCACCACAAAGCGCGTCTTGAGTGCTTGAAGGCCACGTAAGTGCGAGGACTACACTTCACAAAGAGGCGGCCAACCCATAGGGTTGCAAAGAACGAGAGGGAGACGTGATAATTCAGCTGTGCCCCGAGCAGCTGACACTTGCGTGCCACTTTGCTGCTAATTCTCAATTCCTGCAAGTCCCAACTCCAACCTCCAAGTCTTTCCACAACAGCCCGAAGAAGCAACAGAAACGGCCAGAATTCACAGACCAACAAGCCGTGCGACGCCCTGCTTCTGCAGCTTCTGTGAAGTCTACAGTCATGGTGATGTCTTGGAGGCCGGGGCATTCCTGATTGCTTACGTTTCGGGTTGATTGTGATTAAGCTCGGGAAAACCTGAGGAGCTTTGCGGCTAGCTGGGCGAAAAAGCTTATAGTACTGGTGGCCCTAAGACTTGTAACGCGCTTACTTCGTCCTGTACTTAAGTGCGGACCGTGGCGACGAGCCGGAGCGACCAGCTAGTAGTCTATGCATGTGGAGACTGTCAGGGCTCTCATCAAGGAAGCCTTCACAATTAGACGAGGGTTCACAAATTTAGGTTTGGGATTCAAGAAGCTCGCCATCCACTTCGGCCCAGACTTCGGCTTCAAGCATGTTTCTGCCGTCGAAGAGCCAAGTAGGACCCCGCACACTGAGATGTGGCCTGGCGTGCATCCATGATGTGGATGCCCTCGTGATTCCTTGCCAGTGGGTTTTACGCTCTCACAACTCACTCGGGAGCGTAGCCGGACCAAGTGACACACCTCTGTCGTGATTAACTAGGGTTTAGGGTTTAGGGAGGCCTCAAACGAGTGCATACGACAACAAATCCAAAGATGCGCTGTGAACGCTGTAGCTAAGGCTGGGGAATAGGAGCTTGCACAAGACTTGCTGCTCTGAGTTCTCTGTCTAAAGAACTCGCCACGGGAGTTCCGAACTCCATCGGTTCATAAATGCGACGAGATACCTATCCCCACAATCATACAGAAGCCTAAAAACAAATTAGTGGTGTTAGTCCTTAGTCCCTGTGTCATTCTGCTATAAGAACAATAGTATCCCGAGGCTCGGGTGCACCAATGCCTGCCAAAGCAAGGCATCGGCGTCGGCTCCATAATCCATGGACACGAGAAAGCCCTCGTCCACCAGAGCGCCTTGGTAATGCAGGGGCCTTAGTAATTAGAATGGGGTTTTGGAACCCATTATACTCCTGGAACTTCCTTCGGTGATTTATTCTTGGCCGTTTGTGTTGTTGCCTGTTTATGTGTGTGTTTGACAAGTTAATCTGGGTTCGTGCAAGAAAATTAGTTTCCTAGGTTTCGTATCATTTCCTTGTGTTTCAGGTACTGCTTTCATTTGTTGTGGTGCTAGGTAATAGATAACTTCAAGGCATCCCTGTGCTTGCTCGCGTCGAGATATGCAAGCATTTCTGATGCAGAGAGGCATGAACATGTGGTAGCCAGCTCATAATCACCACCTACTGATACCACGATGTCTCCTACTGGTGCTTTTATGTGCTTCCAAGATGGGAACGGCTACAACTATCAATGATCCTGCTGCTGCTCCTGCCACCTCGGTCTGCCACTATGGCTGCTGTATGTTAACCAATCGTAAAGCCCTAAAGCCTAAACCCTACACCCCTCAATACCCCGGGCCCATAGCCAATATGCTACTTCCACTATAGACAAATTTTAAGATAGGTAGGCGGGCATCACCATGGGTGCAGATGCCTAAAGGGATCCATTCATCAGCATTCACCACCCATATTTCATCATGCATCCGGATGGATCTCGTCGATGGCGAGAAGAGCCGTGCCTCCGGAAGGTGCGCCCATGCCCCCCATGCCCATGCAGGGAGTCTTGGGAGATTGCTTGTGTCTTGAAGAGTGTATGTGCGCACACTTGTGCTTGCGGTTCGATCTGGGGCTCGAGGGTTGAGCAATCCATTTTGGGCTTTGGTTGCTTTGGCCATGTCGACTCGTTTGGCTGAAGAGTGGGAATCCATCCCGGAGCTTCGACGCCTAGCTCAGAAGCTGGTGCTTGTTACTTGGAGGCTCTAGCTGCTGAAGTTACCATCGATGCAGTAATTAATTCCACGCCATGTCACATGTTCACTTAGGTTCAAGTTACTGGGACTGGGACTACCAGGGAGAGCATCGTGCAGAATGAGGCGGTTATCAAACCTGCTTTGCATCACCTGGGGATGCGACCGAGTGTGCAGACGTGTATGCTGCATATCAAAGCGTTTTTCGATTTGATGCAGCTGTCGATTCCTGCTGCACATGTGTATACGCAGGGATGGGCCCTCCGTCGCATGATCTCAATGTTTAACCTCATTGTCCGGCGAGGGCACACGCCACGAGAGGCTGCTATTGTCAGGCTAATGGAAGGTGTTGGCTTGACGGTCAACCCCAATGCTGAAGCTGATGATGGCACCAGTACACGTGCGAGTTCAGATGATGACGGATGCTCGGAACATGGAGAATCAGAAGAACTCAGCGATGATGATGATGTCGAAGAGGGGCTTAGTGCCTGGGCTGTCTATCCCTATACAAACAAACCAGGCTCACGGTGAATCCAAATAATGTCCAGTTTTTAAACTATCTGTAAACCTTCAGGTACAACCCTGGAACCCCGAGATACTTCTGCATCCCACCCAGCCCACTGCCAAGGTAACCCAGCTCCCCACCTTCTTCGTGATCCCGAAGTTCGCGCGCCTGCAGAGGACTTTTCGCTGTTTTCGTTCACGCTTCGGTCGGCTTGCAAAGGGATTCGATCAGACTGGTACAGGAGAGTTCGAGCAGAGCTCCTGCTTCGGTGGTTGTGGAGACGAGCGCTGCTGTCGAAACAATAAGCCCTAAGATGAGCCCTGCTGTGGAGACCAGTGCTGCTGTCGAAACAATAAGCCCTAAGATGAACCGTGCTGTGGAGACCAGTGCTGCTGTCGGAACAAGCCCTAAGATGAGCCCTGCTGTGGAGACCAACAATGCTGCTGTCGGAACAAGCCTTAAGATGAGCCCTGCTGTGGAGACCAACAGTGCTGCTGAAGGGACAAGCCGTGAGATGAGCTCTGCTGTGGAGCCGAGCCCTGCCGCATCAAGCCCCACTTACGAGATGAGCCCTGTCAGCATGGTGACATCTCCCGCAGGCCAGCTCGTGCATAGCCGGTTAATCCAGAAGCATGCGAAGACCAGCTAGCTTAATCATTCATGATCCGTTGCTGCAGGCAGCAATCCGGTGGTGGTGACTCCCAACAAGACGGCGATATCTGCAGACCCGGTAGCTAGGCCTCTTATTCATCTAGAGATTCAAGTTCTGCTATGCATATGGCTAGCACACGTCATCACACGTCGATCAAAAGCCAGGTTGCTCAACAGCAACAACTCATCGATCAGCTGCAGAAGTTGACGGAGCTGCTCGAGTTGAAGAAACAGCTCAAAGAACTTCAAGCAGCTCAAAGTGCTAACCCTCCACCCGCTCATCCTGGATGTTACTCAACTCAACTCTACACATCGTGTGTGTAACAGTCCAGTATGCATATAGCCATTAGACTCGTAATCCCAACTCCGCCACTGGAGGCCTGGACAACGTCGAGACCCAGCCCATGGATCTCGCCTCCATGGCGTCTTGCTTTCCTTCGGCGGCACGGCCGGGAATTAGCTTTGGTTTGTACCGTCTGTGTGTGTGTGTGCACGCACATGTATTTGCACACACAGGCATGTGCATATCATATATTATAGATACGCATGCATGCATATATATATATATATAATAACATGTATACTATGTACACATGCATGTACACAAATCGAGGCTGCGCCGGCAGCCAAAGGAGTATGCGATCGATCGAGCACACGTGCCTGCCCAGAGCGGGCCGAGGTGACTGTGCCACCCGAAGTTGTGGCCCCACACTTTGGAGTTCAGGTGTCCGGAGTGGACAGGCCATGCCCCCCCTTTAGGTCCCGGCCACTGGAAACTCCAATGCCCGAGCCAGTGCCCGCAACTCCAATGCCAGAGCCAGTGCTCGCAAATCCAATGCCAGAGCCAGTGCCTGCAACTGCAGCGCAGGAGGTGGTGCCGGAACCAACAGCGCCCGAAGTGACAGCTGCAAAGCCGGTGAGTGCAGCACTAGCATTGAAGCGTCTGTTCGCAAAGAATATGGAAGAGAAGCGCGCAGCAAAGCGTGCAAAGGATTCGAATGAGGCCAAGGCCCCGGATCAGGAGGAGCTGAAGGAGGAGCCGATCATGCAGCCTCCGGTCCCGACGCCAGTGCGCAGTCGGACTGCTACGGCACCAAGAGTGTTTGGCAGCGATGAGGACATTGCACGGGCTTTGGCCGAGTTCGATGATTCGGAGGATGAGCGTGCAACGGAAAATTATTCGTTAGAGTTTGAGGATGATTATGGGGCCACAAGTGATGAGGAGGAGGCCCCACTGGTTGAGCAGGACCCAGAGCTTGCTTCAGTCTCGCTTTCCATTCCGGGTACGAGTGCTGATGAAGATGAAGAGCGAGCTCCCGTCGGCGATGCTGGTGATGAAGATGAAGAGGGAGCTCCCATCGGTGATGCTGGTGATGAAGCTGAAAAGGCTGAGCCTGCCAGCACGTGGCAAGCCGAGGAGGAGCTTGCCAAAAGGCTTGGCCGGCCTCCGGCATGGAAGCCTGGATCAGTTAAGTTCTTAAGCTGTGAGGAGCAAAAGCCTTCCAAGCGCAGGGGCAGGAAGCCTGGCAAGGGCAAAGGCAAGAGAAAGTCGAGGGCCAAGCGGTCTGTTGGTGCAGATGCCGAGTGCCCCAAACCCAAGCGTGCCCGGAAGCCCTCCAGGAAGCCTGCTTCTGATTCCGATGCTGACTCAGCCATTGAGTCCCCCCCGAGCTCATCTTCTAAGAAGCCTGCCAAGAAATCCAAGACGACCCCATCCAGCCCTTCGGCCCCCAAGAGTGCTCGCAGGTCAATCTTGAAGAAGGCCGCCAAGGCTTCCAGCCCATCGCCCGCCAAGAGTGGCGGCAAGTCTTCCAAGAAGTCTGTTGCCGCAGTCTGCCCAGCCATCCCGAAAGCCAAGCCAGTCAAGAAAACAGCAGCCAAAGCGAAAGCCAAAGCCGGAGCGAAAGCAAAGTCTCGCGATCCAAACTACCGAGCACCGTGCACACAAGACGCCGAGTACAAAGCACGTGTGAGCCGCAAGTCCTGTGCTTACCATAGGGCGCTCAAGCAGGCTCGTGCTGAAGGCAAAAGCGAGGCTGAGATGAAGGAGATCGCGCGCGCAGCTGCTTGGCTTATATATTAGCATGTGATATATATATATAAATATATATATATATATATATATATATGCATGTACGAACAACATACACGCATGCTACGTGTGATGTGAGCCCTACTCTGAGGCTTATGCTGCAACGGAGTGAACGCTCGACAGGGATTGCAAAGGGGCCCGACGGATGCAGCCGGAATGGCTGATCCATCATGGTTGGGTTTATACTTTGTCGGGATGGATCATGCACCTTATCCTCTAGGGCTTTAAATAGACTTACCTAGAGACGAAATTAATGTACTATCGGGGTCATAATGGGTCACACAATTAAGCTCGCTAGGCCTAAGCTAGTTGCTTCTCCTGACATTGTCTGCCCTCGACCATTCGGGAAATGTCGTTGAAAAACCTTGCAGCCTAGCTTGCAGGGACCAGTGATTTCGCGCTGATATGTCATACGTGCATATCGGTACTCGCAGGAGACATGTGATGGCTAGAAGTCGGTGGGGATCAATGCCGACGACTGCACAAAGCAAGATTAAAACAGTGCTTCGAGCGCAGGTTTGTCCTTCTCCGTACAGTAGTGCACTGGCCTACAACATGTTACAGATGCTGTCGCAGGGCAACAAGTTCTGGGACAAGCTGCTGCTCGAATCGAGTCTGGATGTGTGGCCGGCAAGTTACGAGGGTACACCCTGGCATGTATATCGCAAGATTTAGCTATCATATAATGATGCAATCAGTCCTGCTTTGCTCCTTGCAACCATGGCCGTAGTATGGAGCATCCTGGCAAAGATGTGCACCGCCACCCCTGCTCAAGGCAACCCCGTTATCTAACAGTCGTTCTCTATGGGCATATACATACATACATACATACATACATACATACATACATACATACATACATACATACATACATATATATATATATATATATTATGTTATATATACATACATACACACATATATATATATATATGTATATATATATATATACAGATTACATATATTATATATATATATAATATGCTTATAAAGCCTACAACCCTTAATCCCTGAGGGTGTGGATCGGGTTGCAAGGTTTTGGTTTTGAAGTCATACAGCTGGCCATAGACTTGTGTTGCAAACATGATCCCGGAGAATATCATCGTGGCACTGCTTCAAGTGCAAGCTCCCAAAGTGCCTAGGCAGTTCAATCGAGAGGTCTACAGGAGTCTGGGGGTCTAGAGTGACAATGTTTGCAGGCTGACTAAGTAGAAAACCCTATATGTTCTTTGGGCCAGTCAGTGGTGTGATGAGTGCTTCCCATAAGCCTTACGGGTAGTTCAGTAAACCGATCGAACAACCTCGAAGCCGGACCGTGCCTAGGTATTCATCGCCTGTGTGACTGGGCTCAACTTTACTGGTGCACGTGAGAGCCTACATCCTAGAAAGATTGGTGTGTCTCCAGCCTACTTGATTAAGGTACTTTTGCTGCTTTGGTCCACTGATGTGAGCTCAACCTACCATGTTGTCGAGCTGTTCTCTGGTGTGGGAAGGATTGCGACATGCTTTCGGAGTGCTGGCTACAAAGCTGTAGAATTTGATTTCATCCATGGTTCATCAATGGACTTCCTTTCTTCAGCTGGGTTCCTGCTGCTTGGTTTACAGCTTATGCATCAGCCAAGCTTCTGTACTCCTAGCTCGACATGCAGCTAGGTAGCAATTGTGGGTTGGAGGTCATGTTAGGGTTGCAAAATGCACGGGTATACCTACAAGGTTGAGTGCATTAGTAATCCGTGTACATGGTGCTGATAGGGTTTGCTCTAGGGCTTAGCGTTTCCTGGGTAGGTATAGGGCCGGTTTATTGGGTTCGTAAAGGATGAAGAGCTCCCTACTTTAGTTCCGGGGATGGGTTGTGATACGTGTAGATTAATCCCCGGGTAGTTAATTTAATGATCTATATAGTATATCCCACCCTGCCGTAAGTTCTAGAGGGATACTTAGGCTGGCAGCGCAAGTCCTCCTATGTCTAGTCCCTGGTGGACTCCTTGTCCTGGCACCAGACTGCTCGTCATGGACGATCATGAGTCGAGGGACTTCCTGGCGATCGGTTGTGAACCCGGCAGGCAACCCGAGTCTTCAGTGGGTTCAGGACAACAACCGGGCTGTGAGCCGGTGCTTTACCTGCAGCTAGGGAATTGATGTTTGGAGATTGGCAATTACGAGCTTTGACAACCAAGGTTGACACTTCTATTGATGTTATGCACAGCAGTACATGGACTGTTCTTGATGGAGCAACCCTCGTCGTCAGAGCATGTATTTTCTCGGCATTGGCGATTCGAAAAGTTCTGCAACCATATCTGCTGGGCCCTTCTTCGTGCAAGCAGGGAGGTGTTCTTGTGTTGCTGGTTGGGGCTCGGGGTGCAGCGCACCAGTGAACTCAGGTTTGGAAACAAAGGTTCTGGATGATGCATTACGGAGCTGAGTGCCCGAAGCTGTCGATTGCTTGGTGCAACAACTATTGTTTGGCTTCTGGTTTAGTGACTAGTCCGCACCAGGGAGGGCTACGTGTCGTTGGGATAGCTGATGCAATGTTGCTACTAAGGCTACACCGGTGCTAACCAAAGAGGAGCGACTTGCTCGTACACGAGTCCAGACTACAAGTGCCTTCGCTGAAGTGGCGCTCTAGGTTCTATATAGTGATCTGTCGACATTCTATATAGTGTGTAGCTAGACGGATCCTACAAGGCCGCAAAAGAACCAGAGACGGCCAAGACAAGTTCCGTGGGACCAACGCATTAAAATCAACTTCGAAGCTTAGCTGCATAGCTACACATTTGCAATATATAGCCATGTAGATCCAGCTTGGAAGCCTTTGCCCAGGGCGTACCCCGAGGGGTTCGCCAAGCACATCTTCGATGTGCACCAGCGCATCGGGCCCGAGCCTGGGAGGACTTTGCGACAAAAGGTGCTCATAAACACTAAACTCACCGACAGGGAGCTGTTCGAGAGGCTACCGCTGGGGGATGTTTGGTCCGACGCAGGGCTAGCGGACGTTTTCATGTATATGCTGCAATCGCATTCCCTGAACATTCCGGATTCATGGCTCGACACGATGATGGATTTCAAGTCGCAGCTTCAAGCTGCTCCTGCTGTGACTCGGGCGCAAATTGGCCTATAAGCCTAAGCCCTAAACCCTATAAACCCGAATTCGGCTTGTGCTGTGGGGGATATAGTCTCGAATTGAGAGCTCAGGCGGGCTCTGCGAGGGGACCTAGCTGAAGCTGGGCTGCATATAGTGCAGTACACAAGACTGTTCAGTATGCAACCGGAACCCCGCTAGAGAACAGTACGACCCCAGAACCCCAACAATACGACCCCAGAACACCAACAGTACGCAACATTACGATCCTAAAATTGCTGGCTAGCCTGAATCATACTAGAACACCAAAAACCACGACCACTTTTAGGCGCAAAACCGCCGCAAATTGCACGCAAAACCGCCGCAAACTGACGCAAACTCCCGCAAATCCCGATTAGTGGTTTTTTGCTTTTTCACAATTCTACAAATCTCTCCCGACAGCCGAGGAATGACTGGGATCAGATGATGTATCTTTAGATGGCTCATCTTGGCTGCATAATTCAATATATTAATTAACCCATGCTGTGGCTGTGAGAGTGCTACAAAAGCATTGCATGGGACTCGAGCTGATTGCAAGGCTGCTAGCCATTACATGAGTATACTGCTGCATGGTTCCAGCTGCTTGCATAAAGTACCTTTTTGAGGATCAAGCATGCAGCCTGATCAGGACACCCTGCGAGGCTGTCCCACTTTCGTTGCGGGCCTTCAAGTGGTTGCTGATCAACAAGTGTCAACAGCCATGGCCATGGACCCCAATGTTCTTCAAGCCCAGATTACAGCAGCTAGGCTGATCGAGTGCATTTAAGCCCAAGCAGTAATAGCCTTAAGGGGTCGTGTTGGATGCATAGCATGGCCGGGGTACCCGAAGCACTAGAGCTCTTAGCGAAACTTAAAGTACAGCCTCAATGCCCGTCCCAGGCCATGATGGAACGCATCCGCGAGCTTCAATCTGAGATTGGTGCTGAGGGTGGTGTTGTGCCCCCGTCGCCATCATCGCAGAGCCCTGCCACTTTGTCAGGTAGCTTGTTCGCAACACACCAGTCTTATATGCTATGCACATATAGTAGCATATGGTTCCCGTTATCAGCAGCTTCGTACTACAACCTGGGTCCTACTGCAACAGGTGCTGCTTATCATACATCGAAAGCTGCTGGCCATTTCGCTCCTGGTCTTCAGCCAACAAAGATTGCTGAAGAACGTCTTGTCAGACGGTCTGATACTGTGACTTCGTTGACAACTACTGTGCCTTGTCTACAGTGTAGATGATGCAGCTTTTGATCGCTAAAGTTGGTGGCTAGGCGGCTCTGTCGCCGCTCTCAAAGAACGAGGGCCCTTTGCAGCCCCGCGCTTTAGACCTGAGTGCCCAGGCTGATATATGTAATATTGGCCAACACACACACACACACACACACACACCCGATTATTTAGCCTTAAGTCATCAGCTAAGGTACTGGTTGCCCTCCAGAACAAAAAGCATGGCCACATGACAGGCAGCCTGAGGCTTTGGAGACACAACCAACAATGGTTACCAGCAGCCAGCCAGTGCCAGCACAGATGACACCCGCAAGTGTGCCGGCCATGAACAAGCACGACCCTGACTCCCTGAACTCCAACAAGAGCCCGAAGTCCCACAAGAGCCTCAAGTCCAACAAGAGCCTCAAGTCCAACAAGAGCCCCAAGTCCAACAAGAGCCCCAAGTCCAGCAAGAGCCCCAAGTCCAGTCCTCCGTGCACACGGCCAGAGTTCCCGGAGAGTGCTGAGCCGCCTGCAAAAGGCAAAGGCACAGGTGACCGGGGTGACCGCACAGCCCGAAAGCTCTTCGAGAATACCGGACCGAAGAAGCCCACCAGCCAGTACGAGGATGGATCGTACTGGAAGAGGCTTAATTTCACTAGCGTGGATTTACTTATAGCTAGCTGCTTCGTGTGCAAGTGAGCTAACATGGATCACCCAAGGATTCGCCGATACTTCCAGCCCAACAGCAAAGGCCAAGTCACCGCTAGCAAGCTTGCCCAGGAGCTCTACACCAAGGATCGTTCACGAGACGCATTAAATTACACTTGCCAACCGCTTCGAGTAGTTTTGCATGATATAGGCTATCGATATCTGTGTGTATCTGAGGTGCGAAGCTCCGGCAGATGTTGCAGGAGCACGGCTCCTTTGCAGCGCTTGAGCTGCAGCTGACTCGCTACCACAAGAAGGAGGATGAGGAGGAGCTGGAGGGGGGATGGCACACACAAGTCTCCCTGGAGAAGGAAAACTGGACTGAGATGCTCGTCTCCATCATGCATGTATACATTTAGAGAACGATTGCATATGCCGATCTGATCTAGGTCTATGATATCCCACAGCCGGCAGTGGGCCCTGGCTCGAAATCTTCTTCGGCGAAACGAAGTGCATGGTGCCGAAGAGTGGAGGATTCCAGTGAAGGAGAGTTACCGCCACCGTTCATTGAAGGGCCACAGCTCTGAGATGAAGGGCAACATGGACGTGGAGGACTACATGCATGACACGCATGTACTGTGCATATGTACATATATATATATATATATGTACATGACACGTAGTGTACATGTGTATCGCTCATGCTGTGGCTCATCTTGTACTTAAGTACACTCTACGAGCTGACGGGGCAGTTGTGTTGTCATCTAAGGAGAGGCTCTGTTACGAACGTTCGTGCCATGCAGCAAACCCCTGCGAGCGGTTCTGGGAAGAACCAGCTGCAGCTGCCGGTCTTGCAAGAGAACACGGACCCCTTGAGCACCTTGCTTGCTCATAAATGCTTCAACCTACGGGCCTACTCCCTAAACCCCCAACCCCTGAATGCCTTCAGTACCGATCTGAGGCCATTTGCCAGTCTACATCGACGTCGTCGGCAAGAAGCTCGACAAGTGTTCGGAGATGAAGGACTGAAGTAGATTCTGCGGGCTGCATTAGGTGCTTCATCAACATGTACATGTGCCAGGAGAAACTCGAGTCTATGAATACGGCACGTGGCCAGAAGCGCGGGGGAAGGGGGCTGGCACAGTCAGTTACTTTTGAGTTAAGGGACAGGTAGGGCTTGGGGTTGTAGGGCTTCAAACTGCCTTAGTGATGTGTAGCATAGCATGCATATGGATTTTTCATATAGTTTCTTTAGTGTCCTATATATATACACATATTATGCATTATGGAACATATATGTTCAAAGTATTCTACTTATAGGCTGTAATATAATTATATTGATACCCCTTCCTATTTCTATGTAGCACTCGGCTTTAGGGGAGGCTCCAGTATCCCTAAACCCTGAAAACATAACACCCAATTCCTATATGGTCGTACTCAGCTGTCAGGCTGGCTGAGGAAATGGATACACAGCTGACGAAGTACCAGGAGATCTATGACAAGCTGATCGAGGTCCAGGGCAACATCATGGACAATCCTTCGAAGTCCCTATGCTTAATTAATTACTAAACCCTGAACCCTAAAAAAAAGCTTATCCCCTATGTGCTGACACTGCCTGGCCTGTAGCGAAGCAATTTGGCCAAGGTCCTGGAAGGACGCACTTGTCAAGCAGTTTGTCAACTGCACCAAAGCGGACGTTGCAATCAACAACCTGCTGTCTCGTGCAAAGTGTGGCTAGCATGCTTATGTTCATCGGGGCTTCCGCCTAGACTTGCCTGGTAGCTACGTCTTCGATCACATGTGCCAGGAGTGTGAAAGCCCCGGCATCGAAGAAAGACAAGGAGAGCCCGGAGAAGAAGCCTGGCAAGAAGAAGGGCAAGGACAAGAAGGATAAGCCGCCGAAAAAGGAAGCCAAGAAAGAGCGTCCAGCCTCGATCAAGCGCCGAAAGATGCGCTAAGTTTTTCGTTTCATCTGGGTTCAGGGCCTGTGTGAGTCCAGCTATGTGCGACTTAATTAAGGCATGCACACGGTACTACATGAACCGACATACATGAGTGGCAAAGCTGTGCACTCTCATGCAGAGCTCCTGTTGACTGGGGCAACAACGGCAACTGTGCTTTTGGGCACTTGCTGACATGCTTGCAATTAGGCTATGCGACTCATACGCAAATGGGGATAAAAGGTGTTGCTTGCTCCGCCCTTCCCTTGTCCTGAGATGTCGTTGGGCTCCTTGATGTCTGCTGCCTCCGTACATGTGCCAGGTGGACGCACTCTGAGGCGGCTTCTGGGGCCAGGTGCAGGCACGGTAAGCACATGTACAATACGATTTTAATACATGCATGCAATTGATAGATCTGCACTTAAGGCCAAGAGGATGATGACGACGAGGATGCAGAGCTGGCGCAGGAACTGATGCATGATTACCTTTCGGGAGCCCCTAGGCTCAACTATCATATATGTACATCTCATAGAGGCAACTGTGTGCTGCAAAGGCCGAGTCAGCTGCTCGAACGAGCAAGATTGCCACGATGATTTGTAGAGTGCGAAAGAAGAGACCCCTGGCTTGCATGTACTTCCAACTGGATCTAGCACGTTTTTGTTTGTACGTCGGAAGTGTATGCATGTTGTGGTGTAGTAGTGTGGTGTGGCATGTTACGGCATGGAGTCGTGTGGTGTGATGAGCTGTGAGGTGTGGGATGTGGAATGTGGAATGTAGAGTGTAGGGTGTACGGGGTGTGGCTTCTGCTTCGTGATATGATACGTACTATATTAAATGTGCTTGGTTGCTCTTGTGACTTTAGTGTGTGTGTGTGTGGGGTTTTGGAAATGGGGTGCATCTGTCCGTGTGTGCATGACCCGATAAGGTGGCAGGCCTGACTTGCTACACAAGCTTGCCAAAGCTGGCACAAGTCGTACGAATGTTTGCCGCAACCTGCATACACTGCTTAAGAAAAGTGGTGCTGAATATCCAGTCCCCCTGACAACTGTGCCTACGACAATCAGACTTCGCAAGCCTCGGCCGCATCATGAAGTTCTGCAGTGGCCTGTCATTCTGATCTCTGATTGGGTCCGTGTTCTTTTGGAGAAGAACCCGGAATACTTATTGGGCGGTTGCACGCTGGAGGATGAGCTTGGGTGGAAAATGATCTTGTCCAGCTTTTGGGACAATTTTCGTTCCATAAACCCCAACCACCCAGCTTACACTTCAGGCCTCGATTTGTCGAGGTTGGTACCCTATGCACTTCATGGTGACGAAGGCCGAGGACTCCGAGGCAAGCCGTTCTTAGTGGAGGCATTCCAACCTATAATCTCGAAACATGGACCAATGGTTACGAATGAGTCAGGGCAGCCCGCTTGCAGTGATGGAATGTGAGCGCCGGTTCATCTGATTAGCTTATAAGCTGTAGTAAGGTGGGTTCAGTAGTGCAGCACATAGCTGTGAGCAATGTGAAAGGCATCTAGAGATCTAGCTTTATCTGCCCACAATTCTACCTCCTAAACAACTCGCTGGTTTTGTACGTTGTCTATGTTACTCTTATAAAAGTCGTTTCAAACAAGTTGTTGACATACGCTCGCAAACCATCATTTCTCGATTTATTCCAAGTTAACAGCCTTAATCCATGATTTGGCAGAGTGCTTACTTGTACTTGCAAGTTTTGTTCTTGGCACGCCCCAACCCTAAAGCCCACAAACACAGGCCATAGTCCGGAAGCCCCAAAGCCCAGCTGAGGCATTTATTGACCACAAGATTTTTGACAATTTGCATCTCCTCCCACCTGTTCGCCGAGAACGACACCCTCCACGATCTACATTCAGCAATAGCGAACGATGCTGAATATGCTTTTTGGACTGGGGTTGAGGCTGCTTCAGCTGGTTGGAGCATGGTTCTATGGTTACAGTTTTTGTACTATATATTAGCTACGACATATAATTAATCGATATGCGGGGCTATCTGAGGTTTCTGGCATCCGCTTGCATATGGCCTGCATAGCCGGCAAAGGAGACTGGAAGTATTTGCGCCAGGAGCGGTTCGGGATAAATGTAGCAGCTCAGATAACATATATACAGATCCCCAATTCAATTCAACTGATCAGGTACCCATACAATTTACAGCCTACCTCAATGTACCTCATGTCTACAACTTCTAGCTGGAACGGTTGTATATGCATATAAGTCAATAACTATATAGGTCGAAAAGATCCTACTTGCTTTAAATGTCAGTGTGCAACCCAAACTACCTTAGATTATCCTAGCTAGCTCTAAACCACAGTTCCTGTCAAGCCGGCCAGGCTTACGCGCTTTCCACGGGGTACAACTGCAAGGAGAAGTGTCACCTTTGCAATGCACAGGTTTCGTGGCTGGTACTTGAATATATAGGTCAGAATTTTAAAGGTTTGTTTAGTACATGAAATACAATCGAGGATTGGCATGTTCTTTCGAAAGATGCAAGCTGGCGGGACACTATCGGCTGCCGAACAAACAGCCCTCACAAGACTGGTGATATCCCTTTGTTTCGAATTCCGGGATTGGAGACGAATACAATCATGACAGATCCTATGCACACATTTCATCTGGGCTGGGGCCAGGATTTGGCTGCTAGTGGACTGATCCTTTTATGCCGTCTGCAAGAGTTCGGGAATGACCGTGTGCTGAATAGCCGATTGCATCGAGCATACACAAACTTCGTGGCCTACTGTGTTAGGACAGGGCGAACCACAGGCTGTGACAGGTTCACGACAGTCGCTTTCGATATGACTCTATGACCCCAGTTGGTATTTCGATTTATTGGTCGACCACATTAGCCGCGAATATAGGTCGATCGCAGGCTTATACACATGTGAAACCATCTAAGGGGTTCCAACAATGACTGGCCGACATCTCTTGGTGGCAAGGCTTATGATACCTTTTTGGTTCTGGCTTGGATGGAGGACCACCTCGAGAACTCGGTTTCTTATTCTGCAAGCTTGAGGATGAGCTTTGAGCCCTTTCAAACCCTAGAAGTAAAGTATATCCCAACTATTTCAAAGCCAAGCCCTCAACTCCAAACCGAACGAGTTATTCTAAGGCAAACCAGGATCCTGATGTGCAGACCCTGCGATACACGGTGAAGTGTGCGAACCTCTACTTCCGAACTCAGCGAGGGCATGGTGTGTTCATGCCACACGAAACCAGGCTGTTGGTTTCAGCTGCTGGTCAAGATATGGAAGTTCCTTGCCTACGATAAGCTGACCTATCTGAAGTAAATCAGGCTTGTTCTCGTAGACTCGTAGACAACTGCAACTTCTGGCTCAGGAAGGCTTCGGTCGGCTAGCGGCTTCAGCACACAATCGTGGATGGAAGTTGTTCCAATTACGGCCGAAGATCCATATGTCCCAGCACCAAAGCTTGAACGTCCTACGTGGAGACTCCCTGGGCATAAACCAGCTATGCCTTTCGGATGCAATAGCCGAGCTGTAGCTTATGGTATCAATCTTTCTGCACCATGATTCTACATTGTCCTAAGGCTTTGCATGTTGGCAAGATGAAGACTTTATCGGAAAGTGCAGCAGATTGGCAAGAACCTGTGGCCCTCAGCGCTTGACAACCCGTTGTATGGAGAAGATGTTGGGATTGTACAAACGGCAGCTACAGTCCGGCTAGAATGCTTGGAACACCGAGCGCAGAAAAGATGCTCAGGTCCCGGCCCCTTTGGCTTGATCGATGTCGAAGGTACATCGAGCATCACATCATCAATGGAGCTTAGGGGGCATCGATTAGTATATCTTCCCAACCCACGATAGCTTTTCCCAAGTTCGTGTCGGTTCTTTTCCGGTTCGAACCACTTCCTGGGGAAACGCACACAAACCATCGAAACAACAGGAATAAGCACTACAAACACAAACGAGCAAAAAAAAGCCATCGAACGAACTACTAGGCTACAATTATAATAAGGAACCCCCCAAAATATAGGTAATTATTGAGGCTCCCGTAGTACCTGCAGCAAGGGAGTGGTTCAGGGTTTAGGGCTTTATAGGTACTTCCCTAAGGCTCCACGTACTCATACAGTATATACTTTGGCCCCAAAGTACCTATATAGGAACGGATTTAAGGGTCAAAGTATATAGGTGTTGGCCACATGGACCCTTTCGGGCTTGTAGCCGGGGAATAATTAACAACTGCAACCCATGCACTGTCAACTGTTTCGAAGTATCATCAGAAGCCGATATACAGTTGACCCAGGTTGAAATGTGTTTAGCTTCCACACTAAGTACCGGAGGTCGAGCTGATAGGGATCTGAATTGGAATGCGTGAGAAGACTCGCCGCAACCTTCCACAAGGTTCTCAACCCAGTTCTCAAACGCAGAGCTCACCAATCGACATGCCTGAAATCTTCAGCACGTGCCAGTGATAGTGCCTCTTAACAGCGAGGATGAGGACAATCGATAGCCAGGTTGACCCAGAATCTTCTGCAAAGTCATACCGAATCTACAGGACAGTTAGGGTTTAGGGTTTAGGATTTAGGGTTGCACTGACTGCATGTATCCAGTGCAGTCCCAGCCGCTCGCTTCTTGCACGAACTGCGCATGGCCCGGCTGGACCAGGATCTTCAACTGCAGTGTGCCTGATGCAACCAGATGCTCGCAGTCAGCTTCAGCTCCGTGGCATTCAGGTTCGCGCGCTCGAGTCTTTCACAAAATTGTCCAGACTTCGAAAAAAAGCTCACGGTCCATCAGTGACAAATGTCCCTGCATGTCGCACTCAACATGCCTACCTTCTCCTCGTCGAGACCAGCGCCGGTCGTAAAGGTGGGCAACCTATCAGGACAACCACCGAGCGAAACTCCCGAGTGCTGTGCTGCGAGTATCGGGCCACTGTGATATAGGGGCCTTAATAATTAGAATAGGGTTTGGGGGTAAATTATACTATAATTCTAATCAAAATAGTATAGGTAATCACTTAGGCCCTTACATTACCAATTCGGCCCCAAGCCCAAAATGAAACGACGTCCCTCCCCGTGGGCCCGCCTGGGCGCGGATCTTGGCGCCCGCAGCCAGTCGCTTGGCGTGGCGTTCCCGCCAGCCCTGGAGCCTGGAAAAGACGAGGCGCACCCTTAGGCCCCATAAGTAGTTCCTTTTTGCGGCTTATATTTAGGATCCCCTTAAGAAATCCCAAAAAGGAACTACTAGGGCCTATGGGTACCACTACCACGACGACGACTAGCACTACAAGTACTGTACTAGTGAAGTCAAGCTGACAGAAGCATCTTTGGAAGGGTGGATTGCCGTGCTTGGATGGATGGTCCGATAGCAGATACGTATCTATGGATGCTACAACATGTATCTGTGCAGACATGTGAGAAAGACTGGAGAACAAAAACCATGTAATTGAAGCCATTCTCTCTCCCTACCCCTCTCTCAGCCTCGCTCTCACTCTCTCTCTTTCTCTCTCTATCTTTCTCTCTCTCTCTCTCTCTCTCTCGCTCTCTCTCTTTCTTTGGCCAGGGCTGTGGTGGGGAGTTGCCTCGCTTTCTCTCTCTCTCTCTCTCTCTGTCTCTCCTCTCGTGTACGTTCATCTTCTTGTCTGGAGTTCTCACTTCCTCCCTCCCTCCCTCCTAAGAAAAGCCCCTTAGAAGCATACCAGAAGTACGCTAAGAGTACACCCTGAGGCCACAAAAGCTGAACGAATACGACTACCCATAGGCCCTAAAGTAGTTCCTTTTGGGGTTCATATTTAGAACCATATTAGGGAATCCCCAAAAGGAACTACTATGGGCCCTATAGGTAAAGCCTCAACTCCAAAAGCCTCAACCTAAACCCTAAACCCTAAACCCTAAACCCTAAACCCTACAGTAAACCCTCTTTGGATTGCCGTGGAAGGGACTCCTGGCACCGGGCCGGACTGAGGGCAAAGTAGACTTCCTCGGGTCTGCAAATATGTATGCATGTATGTACATCTATATATATATATATGTTTAATATGTAGATAATATGTGTGTATATATATTTGGTATATATATATATATATATATATGTGTGTGTGTGTGTGTGTATATATATATATACACACACACACACTTTGGCGATTGGGGTGTTTGAGGTCTGGTTATTTGGACTCGCGCGCTCCGACTATCCAAGCCAGGTGTAAGGCTTTAGCACGTTGGAGGGTGGAGGTCTAGATTCGAGGATAGGGATAGGGTTATGTTACTGTTGGTTTCCAAAAGGCATTTGTTCCAAGAGAATAAGAGCCCAAACCAGCGGGAGGATCAACAAAATAGATCCCTTAAGGGATTCCTATAAACTACCCTTTAGTAGTTAGGGTCCCATGTTAGGGGATCTACTTTTTTAGATCCTCCCGGTGGTCTGGGATGCTTAAGTACACATACAATCGAGTGCAAGCAGATGAGGCAGGAATGGAGTGCGGCAGAGGGGTTTAGGGTTTAGGGTTTGGGGTTTAAGGTTTAGGATCTTTGTTTTGTTATTTTTGCTTTGCATCCCTCCACCTGGCTGGTGCCATGGTTACGTCGATCATCCGCTACCTGAGTGCTGGTTACAGTATACAGTCTTCGCATTTAATCGCATGAATGAAGTCCCTAAACACCCCTAAACCCTAAACCCTCATAATTAGTAGTATTATTAGGGGTACCCCTTAGAGGGTACCCCTTCTGAACCCTACTTTTGGCTCTCTTAAAAGGGACCTTATTGAAAGGGTCTATGTCCCCCAAGGGTCCCCCTAATCCTAGCTCCCAATAATGGGTTTAGGGTTTAGGGTTTAGGGTTTAGGGATCCTAGCTCCCAATAATAATCTCCACTCGCTTTGGAAGATCATGGGTCTTCGTAAGCCAGCTTTCAGAAGTGCTATATCCCCCTTTGATCCCTTCTGGGGTTTACCCATAGGCCCTAAAATAGTTCCTCTTTGGGGTTCATATTTAGAATCCTATTAGGGAATCCCAAAAAGGAACTACTATGGGGCCTATAGGTAGGGACGATAACCCCCTTTTTTAGGGTCAGTGTACCCCAATATGAACCTGCTTTCTGAGTCCCCCCCGATTCCTTAAGCATCATCTCTCAGCACTGCGCGACAGAAGCCGTGGAGTCTGGGAGATCAAGAGGCCCAAGTATATAAATCCGAAACAGTAACATAGTAGGTTGAAAGTCCTTGAAAATGAAGGCACATCTTCTCTTCAGAAATCCTGTAAGCCGTGGCTCGTCGCTGTGCATTCGTCCCGGCAGCTGGGGTCCGCCAACAAGCAAAGCCTCACCAGGAGTTATCACAAGCCACAACGGGCCACGCACACATGGCATACAAACAGTGCTGTGGGTACAGACTTTGCAAGCATTTCTACATGCCAAGTTATAAGCTTTGTCGACATGCACGTCAACAAGAACGCACCGTTCGGTGTTGAAGCCCGAGACAATCAACATATGATCCTTCGTTATGTTCCACGACTTGTGCCAGAGCCCTGTTGCTGGGAGTTGCATCTCTCGTCCACGTGTGATAGCTGCTTACTGCCCCTTAACCCAACAGCCCACACAACCTTGCACTCGGTGCGAAAATAACCCTACTAGTAACACCCAAGTCACGAGAACCCTTCTACACGCTGTGAAGGCTTTATCAGGCGCGGCAAGCTTCTCCAGAAGAAACCAACCCTAGAAAAACTCTAAACCCTAAACTTAAATCCTAAGCCTTAATAAACCCTAAACTTGAACCCTATAAGCCTCATAAACCCTCAACCTAAACCCTAAGCCTTAAAAACCCTAAACTTAAACCCTAAGCCTTCAAAACCCTTAACTTAAACCTTATAAGCCTGAAAAACCCTACCAAAAAAGGGAAAGAAAGAAGGCTCCATGGGCCCTAATCTTAAACCCTAAGTAAGCCTTAAACCCTAATCTTAAACCCTATAAGCCTTAAAAGCCCTAATCTTAAACCCTATACGCCTTAAGCCCTACCAAAAAAGGGCAAAGGAAGAAGGCTCCAAGGGCCCTAATCTTAAACCCTAAGCCTTAAAAACCCTACCAAAAAAAAGGGCCTTAAACCCTAAACCCTAAACCCAAAAAAAAGGGGAAAGGAAGAAGGCTCCAAGGGCCTGCTCGACCTCGAGGCCTTGCTCCAAGGCAAGGCGACGAAGCTC